GCACCTCGTTAAACCATGGAATTAGGGTTTTCGACCACTTGAGGCCTTTCCTTGACATTTGCTCAACACGAACCCTTCATGACTTTTGTTGTAGAGTTCAATTAGAGTCATTTGGGCAAGGTAGCATGGTTTGGTTGATGACCTATAATTCCATTCACTTAATAGTGCAATTCAAGCAAGAATGTAACTCATCATTTCATGTGACTTTTTAGCTCCAAACTTCATGAAACTTTTCCACTAGTCAAGATGGATGCATGTTGATGTAATATACACGAAATAAGCATGTTTAACATTACTCTTGCATAATCTTAACAAGGGTACACATGTAAGTAAGGTTGTGTTGTCCAAGTTTAAGTTGGAGCTCACTCTTGTAGATTTGATCTTGACACCTTCATCACCACTTAACATGTCATGTTTGAGCTCAAACCCATTGCTTAACTGGTGACAAACACCTAGGGTGTTATAGCCCTCCCCCCTTAGGAGAATCTCGCCCCGAGATTCGGTGCGAACGACTTTTAAGGGAAGAGAATCATGCCATCTATTTTCCAACATCAGTAATAGCCTTAGGCTACTTAACTTCGGAGTATCAGAGAGGCTAATTTGGTCAAGACACTTTCTGATACTTGCTCTTCGTAGTAAGTTTTGTCTGAAGAATTTCCTTTGTTGGCTTCCATAAAGCATTGTTACTTTGGGAGGAATCCAAGACGGCACAATACTTCATTCTTGGGATACGGAGAGTACTATGGAGCATAAACTAATTACCCACAATCTCTATTTCCCTAGTGAATATAGCATGGACCATGTGAACTTTGCACTAGACTGCAAGCTTCTGAAAGCTACTCATTACAATGGTTCTATGTTCATTCACAAAGTTCGAAAAGCAGTCCTCTACCAAAGTAGCTTGAGTACAACCTTTCACAAGGGATGAGATCACAAATGGGGTAAGGATCCTCCGAGGCTGTAAGAAACCGAGTAACTAACAGACAATATCTATGCCAGTCGTAACCGTTCAATCACTCATATGCCAACCGATGGAAAACTACATAATATTCCATGTGTGCAGCTCTCCTTCTCTAATGATAACACTGTATTATCTAAGTCCATTGAGTGAGCAGTGAATATGATAGCTGACTCTGTTGACTCAGCGTTTTCGACGATCATTATTTGGGGGAATCCTTATATCTAAGCGGCAACAGTTATCTGGGTTGAATTTGAGGCAACCTCTAGGATAAAAACACATGGAAGGTACCTAAGGACAAGTCCACCTTGGAAATCCTTGCTAAAGAAGGATGATAGCGAGGCATGGAGGTCAACGAAAATTGCAAGTATACACCGACTAGAAAAACAGTACACTACTAAGCAGGTTGAGCACAATTTGTCTTCATGGTGTAGTGGCGCAGTAAGTTGGGTTGACTTGCACTGTCGCAAAATTAGCCTGGTTGGACTACTTTTGACATTGAGGCTTCTTTCTAATGTCAATCAACAACTCAAAATCAAAGTCTGAAATCTATTGTTTGACACTTTTCAAATTGTTTTCGACTCGTAATGGCACAAATTGACTTGTAGAGCACCTTGACTACTCACCATTGTTGATACGAGAGGACAAAAGCAAGGCACAAAGGGGTGCAAGGAGTCTTCTCTAGGGCATCTAAAGTATTAACAATCCTCACATTGCCAACATGACCTGAACTACAACACAACCTACTAATATGAGGGATGCTTGTAGTCAGCAGAGAAATCACAGATTCTGTACCTCTCAGTAATCAGTTCATATCCTGCAAACTACTGCTCCATTGTGCACAAATTTTTGGTAGGCATTTAGATTCAAAAGTCCTCTAACTACTGACCAAAATTTGGCTCAAATGGACACCGTTTGACTATCCAACAAATCATCTACCAAAACTACTCGGTTCTGAAATTTTAGTGACCTAAACTGACAAAACATCTCTTAAATCTGATGCTTTACTCAACCAATCCTCAATCAACTTCAGACCTCGAAGTATCCTAAGCGAGGAATAAGCTCGTCAAGTTTTGGGACAATCCAACCATGGTTGATCCTCTAATCACCGGCTTAAGGGTAACCGGTTTAGTGCCCTAAAATCTGGATAGTTTTCCGCTCTTCTTTCTCTTTGCTTCACACGTGTGGAGCGTGTTCTGCACTCTCTAATTCTTCTTATAGCAGCGGTAGCTTTCTCGCTGAGGATAGAGGCTAGGGTTTTCCTCACATGCCTCTTAGAAAACAACTTCAATAGTTGATTTAGACACCAGCTCAACGATACACAAGCATCGGACTGGTGGGCTATTTTTGTAGGGCACAGTGCATACTTCACGTGGAGAGGCAGTCCTACGAGATAAGGGGCCGTTGCTAACTATCCTTCTGTACTTGCTCCAATAGAGTCCTGAACAAATCCTTTGATAGCACCATATACATAATGATGCTGATCGAGATTAGGGACGTTCTTTCTCTAGCTCTTTACTTAGCTGATACATCATCTTGCACTACCCATACGATTGTCCAAGATGGAATTGATTTGATGACATAGGGTCTGGAGAAGAAAGCAGTACCTGCATTGTTGACAGGCTTTGCTGTTTCTTTTGCTTAACATTGTTCGGTGAGACATAGCCTTTAGGGCTACCAAAGAGTCATTATCTAGCTGAAGATTAACCTTACTACCGATAACTAATTAGTTGTCTCCAAACATTTAAAAAGCTCCAAAACTTCCTTTTTGACGGCAACAATTGTAGTGGATGTGCAAATAGACAGTTAACATGGAAGTCAACAGAAAAAGGGTGACACCGAAGAAGGTCGGTTTTTGTCTGCATGATCCTTATGCACCTAAAGATTGAGAACTTGGATAGGAAGCTCATGAGTACCATGTGACCTATTACAGCACATAATATTTCCATCCATTGTCACTCGACTGACAACTTGTTCAACCTTAAGTGGGGTGCATCTTTCTGATGCAACGGGGAGGACATAAGTTGCTCACTAGATGACCGACGTCATTACAGGGACAGTCAAGTAGAGTCACTTGTCTCCCATCTCTTGCAGACTGTTTATGTTCATGTCAGTGACCTGTTCTTCAAAGGTTATCCTTTGGACGACTCCAGAAGAAAGTCCTATTGTATCTGGTTCGACGTACAGATCTTCTGACAAGATAAGGAGAGATAGCAAAGGAAGAGCTCACGTGAAAATAACACATCGGTGCAGTTCTACAATGGATCATGACTGGAACATCGATACCAGCGTGTGCTGAGCAGCATAGCCTTGTGTGTGCACCCACAGGGGCTCTCGGTTTCGTCGCGGCATCGTAGTTTCATGTTCTTGGGTTTCTGGATGAATGTGAGCAGGGGATGGAGATGTGAGAGCTCATGCTGCTGCTACACCGTTTGGATCCAGAGCAGCAGTTTTTCTCCTGCTATGGGAGGATTCATGATGAAATGTTACAGGGACAAATATACATTTCAGAAACAACACGGGAATGATCACACTGGGTGATCTGAAGGGCGCGGCAACGCCGCGCTGGTGTTTCTAGTGTACACTATGCTCGGCCTATGAGCTTCAGTTATCTTTCCGTCCGAGTCACATGGGCTAAAACCTATGCTGGGAGACAGGGGACTGGACAAGCATTCAGCCTTGTCTCTGAACTATAGGCCCATGGACACACTGCTCTTCCACTGAACACCGTCCTGACCTCGTCCCCGGGTCCAGACCACCTAACACCCTATCGGAGCTACGACACGATCCGATCTCACTTTCCTCCACCCCTCCCTTTTCGGCTTTTCACACACATCGTTGTCACGTTGCAATCCGTTTATATAGCGGTCAAAAACCCAAATACTCTATCGTGCAAGTACACTGGTCGAGAGAGCACACTTAGGTGTAAACAAGGCAGCACCTCCTACGGAAACTATAACTAGATACAGTATGCTGCCGTAATATACATCTGATCTCTGAACGGGCGGCCGTCTAAATCATGTTTATGAAGTGGAGCAGTCTGTTCACGTGGCGCATGACAGCGAGCGTACCTGATCTTCTGCCGGCCTGTCAAACGATCTGATGTCAGAGCATGCGGTCTGGACAACTGACAAGCGGCCGGAGACCGCTAGACACCAAACGTGATTTGCCACTGCAACATTGCAGTGTGCAAGGCGATTAGGTAACCAAACGTTGATCCAGCAAAATGAGTACTGCATGTCTGGATTGGATCAGATAATATTCTTTCAGTTCAGTCGGTGTGTACTGGAGCAGCATCACATCAGCATTGCATTGCATTGTTCTTGTGGTGCGAACTGATTCGTCGAACCAACAGCTTTAACCACAACCCAGCCAACCACCTAACGGGCTACGACCACTGACGCGATCTAGGAATCCAGATCCAAGCGGCATCGCCAAGGCACACAAAAGCTTTGGCTATTCCAGCACAATCCTAGCCACCACTAATGGCGTACGTACATGGATGCATCGAACAGGAACAGCGCGCACCAGTGGAGCATTGTGGCACAGCAGTTGCCACCCAGGACAAGGAGGGAGATGATGATGCCTCCCAACTTGCCATTCTTGCAATGCCCAATCAGACCACCAGAACAGTCATTCGCGAACCACATTAGATTATGATGCTCAGTTAGCTCTCGAGATGAACTTAAGAGGCAGGACCGCAAGAGATTAGAAAACATCACCAAAAGTAGCAGTAAGAGTTTTAAGTTATCAATCATGGACGAACCAAATCGAGCTGTTTCAGTAATAAGGGGAAGAAAAACCAAGCAAAGCTTCTCGCTCTGTATCTCTCATCATCGTAAATTCGTAGTCCTATATGTACATTGCAGCAAAACCGTCTAGATAAAGCAACTGAAGAACTCCAATTAGGCAATTACCCACACGCCTAATCACTCAGCAGAGAATTTTTTGTCGAGAACCCCGGCTCCAAGTACCAAGGATCTTAATCCGTGAGGAAAGGGGAAAAAAATTGAAGGCGATACGCAGCACGTCCGTCACCGCCTCACCGGAACCTGGAGATGTCGATCTCGATGAGGCTGTCCTCCTCCAGCTCGATCTCGATCATGCCGTCCTCCGCGTCGCCGCCTCGGCCGCCGTAGCCGTCATCGCTGCCGCTGGCGCTGTCCGATTCGGAGTCGAGGTCGGAGTCGGAGTCCCACGGCAGGCCCATCTCCTCCGGCAGCCCCCACTCGGCCTCGAACTCCTCGTGGATCACCTCCAGCGCGCGCCCTTTGGCCGCCCACGACGCGAACTCCGGGACCTCCGGGAACACGCTCCCGCGCTCCGGCTCCGGCGGCGGGGACGGCGGAGGAGGAGGCGAGGGAGGCGGCGGGCACTCGACCTCGGGAGCCTGCTGCTGCTGCTTCTCGTCCGTCGGCGGCGGTGGGGAAGGAGGAGGGACGGCGAGAGCGTGAAGCGGCGGCGGCGCGGAGCCAAGGCGGAGGAGGGAGAGGAGGAGGAGCAGGGAGGAGAGCGAGGCCGGGGAGAGCACGAGCAGCAGCACCGGCCGGGGGAGGTAGAGCACGGCAAGGAGGGACGCGGCGGCGGCCGCGGCGAGGAGCGGGTGGTGGTGGTGCGCCTGCTGCTGTTGCTGCCGCTGGTCGCCGCCTGCGCCGGCGGGGAGCTCTTGCGCGGCCGGCGGGGAGGGGGACGGGGAGGAGGGAGCGGGAGTGGCCATTTATGGCGGGAGGGAGTGGGGAGGTTAAAGCGCGGCACCCGCCACGCCCACGCGCGGCGGTTTTTTATATATACAAGGGGAAGCGGACCCGCAAAGCTCCGGCAGGGTTTGGCAGCAGTCAGCCAGGAGAGACAACCTGCTGGTGGCGTGGCGTCGATGAACACGAACGAACGGAACGGGCGCTAGGAGCTACTGCTTCGCAATCGCGTGCAAGTACGCCAGGGAAGGGGGAGGACACCACACCAGTCACCAGGGTAGGAAGTCAGGACTCGTCCGTCCCGTGTTCAAACAGGGCGACTTTTCAACTGCTACCGTGCTTTTTTTTTTTGGTGAATCATAGATTCATTTCTCAAATAGAGTTATTACAATCGGACTGCAGACATTGCAGCGAGAAGCTAGGGGTAAGAGACCAAACAAAAGACTGTGAACAAGCCCACGCATGTTGCACGCAGAGATGCGCTGCGAACTTCGCTAATCTTCGAGTGTGAATGATCTTGGCAGGGGGCAAGCAGAGCCCACCGTGTCCAAGAAATGAGCCGAAGCTTCCTGAAATGTTCCATTACTATCACGCAGCACCACTACCGTCGCAAAGTGCTACCGTGCTTGATAAGTGGCGACCAGACTAAATTCGTGCTCGAGGTGTTTTCTTTGGTGATTTTTTTTCACGGCATGCTATGCTATGCATTTGTGTAACCTAACATACAAGTACTGTTTAATGAATACCGTCACAGTTTTAAATTGTAAAACTTTGCTTCTGCTTAATGAATAGTGTGTCAATGGCACATTCCAGCAAAACCTAACATACAAGCACAGTTTGTTTTTGGTTTTGATGGGCTTCCTCGAATTATGTAACTGGGGCATGACGTGAATGGGATACTTCTTGCGGCGTACTCCCTACGTTCAAGTGCCGATTAAAGTGATTTAAGTTTCACCAAGTTTCTAGCAAATGACATTCACATTTATAGTTTGAAATTAATTTATTACAAAAATATATTTCATAATTAATCTAATGGTATTTATTTAATATCATAAGTAAATATCAATATTTTTATTTATAATTGGTCAAACTAAAGATACTAAAATGTGACACCGTGCTAGCATTGCACTCTTTTTAGGACGAAGGAGTACTTTTGTTGAGAAATTGTTTTGCAAAAGATAAGGTGTTGATGCGACAATGTCTAAGCTTTAATCAATGAGTTTTTTTTGCTGGAACCCACCAAAATTGTCATGATTATACTCTGACAGTATTGGTCTCCAATAAAAACTACATTAACGCTTGAAATAGATGAGAAACAATTTGACTCGTTCAAACATGTGCGCAGCTGTGTGTTTTTGCAACAGGATCATGCAGGAGGATGGACATTTGCAACAAAATGCCTTGTTGTGGAAGAACTCAGAATTGAAGTGAGATATACGGAGTGCATTTTATATATTCTTCCTTTAAAGAAAAAATCCGCGATGTGCTCGTAGCGTTTCCGGCCTGAGAGCCAAGAAGACCCGTGCCGGTCAAACCGGCGTGTCCTGTGACCCCCTCGGCAGCAGCGATGCGATGATGGCCGCCCCGCACGGGAACCGCAGCAACGGCGCACCGGCAGCGGCAGGTGGACTGGGCTTCCATCAGACGAAGGCTGCACCTGCACGCAGCACGCCCACCAAGGAAGCGACGGGACGGGGACGGATCGAAACAAGCCGGGGCGTGGTCGCGTGGACACGGAGAGGCGGGCAAGCAAAAGCGGCGGCAATAACCTCTGCTCGCGCTGCCGATTGCCGGAGCGGCGCCGAGACCCGAGAAAGATGGCGAGCGAAAGCGCCCTCTGCCGCCTCGGTCTTCCCCTCCGTTTCCATCAGGCCATCACCGATCGGAGCGCATGCGGCATGCGGGCGCAGTCGCGTGAATGGTCGGTCGGTCGTTGGAGGAACGCATCGACGTCACGTACTATCGAGATCGTCTGGCACCCGAGTGTAAGCATTGACCATTCATTCATTCATTGATTGATGGGCAACCTTTTTCGTTTCGGGGCCGCAGGCTGCAGCGGATGGCGGTGGCGCCCTGCGCCCAGCAGCAGCAGGATCGCTTGCACTCGAAGTGAAGGATTTGCCAGGAGTGACGCCGTGCCGTGCCGTGCCGGGACGGCCTAGAACCGAGGCATGTGTTCGGTTCACTTGTGCTGGACCCCGGCTCCGAACTGTCCTGCACCGGATTACTTTTCTCCAACCCTTGCTTAGCGTTTCTGTTCTCGAATCTCAATCTCTCAAACAGAGTTACGGAGCTGCCGGGCGGGGGATGGTTTTGAGAGTTTTGAGGTTGGGAGGCTCGTAGAGAACGCGGGTGAGTTCAAGGCATCCCATGCTATACTCCATCGTCCTCGTCCCCCTGTACGTGTCCTAGGTTTCTGTTGCGTACACTCTAGCCCGAGGCCAAAGTTTGCTGTGCAGCCGTGCTACGATACGATTACGACGGCGTAGTGGTGGCCCGAATCTGAGCGAATGTCTCGGTTCCATGGACTACTCGATCGCAAGGCAACAAACAAGCAGCTCTCGTGCACACCAAAACAAAGCAAGCACTGTTGACGTGGCCGGTGATTGGGATCCATATACCAAAACAAGCTGAAGCTATCGTGTGTACTGCATGGTGATGTTACTAGATCACCTGTCTACACGTACGAACTCATTATCAGCCGACATTAATTACCAGCGATTTAATTTTGGCCTCAGTCTGGACTTTGGGCACACGGCACATGAAAACAGCATGTGTAATGTAGTTGTGTACGAGTACTTGTGTACTCAACTACTCATACGTTGCTGCAGTCCTGGTATTGTAGTACCGAATTTCTTTACTTCTGCAGCGACCACACAACAAAACTGTCCCCCGTAAGAAAAACGTGACCCATATATATACACACAAAAAAACCCGCCCTTCCGCTACGTACGGCGACAACGAACGGAATGTAAACATGAGTATCTTTTCACAGTTGTGAAATAATATGATCTTCAAAGCGCAATCGCTCACACCTTTTTGCACCCAAGGATTGAGGAATCCGGCGATTTTTTAAAGGCGGAAAGATCCGCGGGCACGGTGGTGGAACACCAAAGCTACGAAAACGCCGTAGGACATCCTGCTCCTGCACCTAGAGATTGCGAGCTGTCTCGTCCACGATGATGCCGGGGCAAAGGGGCAGGGCATCTTCCGTCCGCACGTGACCAGTCACCAGGACAGTACAAATCAGCAAAATTGAGCAGCGCTACAGCAGATGAGAGCCTCCCAGAAAAAGGGTTCCGGGACCGCGCGCAGGCGTTGGACCGAACCGACGCCGGCTGCCGCCTCGCTGTTGGCTTACTTTTTGGAGGCGTGCCGGCGCGCCCCAGCAGCGTGGCCGGTGGCCCGGTCCGGCCGGCGGGACAATAATTCAGCAGTTCGATCCGGCGACCGGCAGACGCCAACCCCGCCGGCTCCCCAAGACACTTCCAAGCGCCGCACGCGGCAAGACCGAGCCGCAGTGCCGGCCGGCGGTGCTGGTGCCGCTCTATACGGCTGTCAGGCACAGGCGCACAGCTGCGCGAGGTGGTGCGGGCCTTGTCGTCTCGGCTGTCAATCAGGCCTAACCGCGTGGACGGACGGACGGGCCAGGGTTCTTGTGAGTTCTCAGGAAGCTGCCCTGCTCCTGCTCCTGCAGTGCTGTAGCACGGGCGGCTATCCGCCTGCTTGGTTGGCCGTGTCTTGTCGTAAACGATCGTAAATTTTTCAGTCGGAACAGTATTTTTTTTCTCACACCAACCAACCAACAGTACTTCTTCATGAACCAGCAACGAAATGAACCGGCCAACCGAACTTGCCGTGGTGGCATACCGGTACGGGCAGTAAATGCGCCGTGCTCCACACTTGGGTCCGGGCCGCTCAATTACTCAAAAATGATTGCACGAACAACTGCCCGTGAGATCTCGTTTCCGGGTTCAAGGAACCATCGACTTGGACTGTTCATGTTCAGTGTGGAGTGATATCAAGACGGTGGCACTGCAACCAAGTCTCCACCCGTTTCCGAAATGCAACAGCCCGTTGATTACGAGAGTTAGGCTATTCGTTATTCACTAGCATAGTTAGCCCTTGTTTAGTTCGCGAAATTTGGATTTTAGGGCTACTGTAGCACCTTCGTTTTTATTTGGCAAATAGTGTCCAAACATTGACTAATTAGGCTTAAAACGTTCGTCTCGCAATTTCCCACCAAACTGTGCAATTGGTTTTTCTTTTCGTCTACATTTAATGCTCCATGCACGGGTCGCAAACATTCGATGTGACAGATACTGTAGCAACTTTTTGGATTTTGAGGTCCAACTAAACAGGGGCTTAATGATTAGGAGAGTTATTCTGTCCATGGTGATAGTACTGTATGTTTTGAGCCGTTAACAGTAGAAGATGGCCGTACGCTAGCGACAGCAAATGTATTTGCGTCGTCAAACACCAGAAAATGGAGGTTGTAGATTGTTTTAGTGGCTGGAATTTGGGCCATACTGTAGTGTGGATGGGCGGCCTCCTTTTATCATTGGACGTGAAGTGAACTGTGAATGGTTGAAATCTGGACCTGTCGTGATACGGTGCGCCCAGAGTTCTGAAGAACAGAGCAATAAGTCCTGCAGTCACTTCTTCAGACTTTCATACAGAAGCATTCGTGGTATGCGCAATAAGAACAGAAGTCACTTATTCAGACTTTCACAGAGAAGTATTTGTGGTATGCGCAATAAGAACAGAACTGGTACCACCATCCAAAGTCAAGACACTTTATCTTCTCTTCGACGCTAAATAACTTACAAGATAGGTACACAAAAGAGAACAGTCGTCTCTTCGACGCTAAATAACTTACAAGATAGGTACACAAAAAGTTCAGAAAAGACATCGCGGGTGTTCTTCAATCACGGCATTGAAGAACTGCGACCATATATATACAACTCTATATATAATAACTTAAGACTAGTAATGACGCAAACGAGTATACTATTCTCACTAC